TCCTTTGAATAGAATAATATCCACACTTATTATTCATCAAATCACATGTACGTCGTAATTTCAAATGATTTCTTATTTTCTGCACATCCAAATGGATTTATTTTCTAATTTTGTTGTCCATGGTTATATCTCCACTTTTTACCACTAGAAACAACAAATATTTCTTATCCGTCTCGGATATGTATTGGTCATACTATATGTCGTAATGTCACATTACATTGTTCATATATTTATCAGTATTTTTTGATGTAATGTACACTATATGAACAAATTTGATATATGTCACATGACACGTCCTCTAATTTTTGTGCTATACTATTTGTACATGAATAATTCACATGATTTTTTTTTTTTTTTATTGGAGACACGTGATAATATTTCATTGGAAGTTGAAAAAAAAAAATTAGACTCATACAAATGCTATCATCGTAGCACATGTAGAAGAGCCCGTAAGCAATTCCCCCCTACAAAGGGAATCGCCGATAGTTTTTTTTAGTTTATGGCATATACGGACATCCACGGACACTTGATGCCTATTTTGGGATATAAAATTAACAAGATAAATTTTAATTATTAGACATTTGGTGTAAAAGCTTCAAAATAATGATACAAAAATTGTTCGAACTTTATATTGAATATTTATTTTATAGCTAATACGTGCATTTTTATTTTTTTTGATACTTGAATATTTATTTTCTTCGCACCACGACTACAAAGTACAACTCAAAATCATCAATATATTTCCCCTGCAAAATTCATAATCAAACTTAAAAAATGTGTTAAATTTATTGGAAAATAGAAATTTGAAAATAGAGAGTAAGTAAATTTTGATATTTTCAATATTATTTGCAAAGAACCGTTGAGAATATGTGTATTAGAATGGATTTATAGTAGTTACAAGAACCATTAAATTTGACTTAATGTTCAGTGATGAATGAAAAATTACATTGGGTTCCAAATGCGACCCAGAATGACCAATCGTGTAACCAGTTCATAATTGGAATATCTAAGTCATGAACAGATCAAGACTACTCGATTCTATCTGTCATATATTTATACAATAAATATAATATGTGAAAGAAATAATTAATTAAGATGAAGTGCCCAACTGGTGAAAAGTGTGGAATTTGTGTGGGAGGTCAGGTGTTCGAGCCACGCCTCATCTAACTTCGAAATACTCCATCATAGAGATTGAAGAATTTCCAATCAGCAAAAATACCATGTGATAGAAAGTTGAGAATGGGATTGTTGTTAAGTCACTAAAGCATAGCCAAGTGAAAAGAACTATATGCAAAAAGAAGGATTCCTTAACAAGGCCGACCATTCCCTTTACGTAATGTAAGAATCTCCAATCACCATAAAATGCACTATGAACTCTCCAAGACTTAACTTCATATTCTATATTATGAATGTTTTCAAGTGACATGCGCTATGGAGACTGAACTTTTCAAGTAACTCAAGGAAAACTTATCATTTGCCGACATAAATCTACTTTTTAAATGCACAATGGGAGATGGTGTATCAAATTGTTTGCAAGGGCGAAGTTGATCCTTTGCACCAAGGATCTTAGATGGACCCCTACACCACAAGAGACCAACCAACTCCAGCAACTCTCTATGTATGATCCNCTTTACTGTTATTTTCTCTAACACTATCTGCTACCAAATCATCGACTCCTGTGATCGGCATCTCAAAGCGACAATTAGGACAATAATGGCTTCTCTTTAGCCATTCTGAAATGCAACTATCGTGAAAAATATGGAAACACGTGAGTGTTGAAACCAATGACCCCGTCGAGATCCTTTCCAAGCATATTGTACAACTCTCGATCTCAACTTCATCGATCTTGTAGTCCATCTTCTTCCTTGGTAGAGATGTGATTGCCTCTGTGCTCGCGGGTACCATGTCGAGACCGTTACCCTCATCCGACAGGTCTACAATGTAATCAAGAAATTGCTCTATCGTGACAACTAGAGAAAAGTCCCGGCTCTTTTTAAGCACCATCTGCGCATAATCATATAACTGATCGACAATGTTTTCTTCAAATTCCTTGCATTTTATGTCGTAATTTTCTAATTCCACCAGAAGAAATTGTTTTAACTCGTTACGCGGTATCGCAAAATCAACACAAGTAACACTTGATATCTTCGACTCGGGATCTTCCGTTATAACTCGAAACTGCCCATCATCACCATAGTCTACCTCGCGTTCAAAAGTCTGGCAATGGAATTCCACGAGAACGGCAAATTTTGATTGAGATTCATTAGGTTCTTGTGAATTCCGTACGGCAATGCTTGCAGTTAAATCCATAAAAAAATGTGAAGAAAAAAAGGTGTATGAATTGCTTAAAAAGAGTGCTAGAGAAAGAGCATGAATTGGTTAAATCCGTGGGGTTTTAGGACGGGGGAGTTCAAACTACACAAATTCCTTTCCTATTTAGAAGATGAAAAACGGTAGATATGGTAAGTTTTTACTTATGGAAACATAAAAATCGGCACAATGGGACGCAAGATTTAGCCTTGTTTGAACCCCACTTTTTCCATAAAAATTTGTTCTTGAATAGTTATTTGACCTCATTTCAGCCACATATTCTTCAATAAAATAATCTTTTACGCAAACGTAAAATTTTTTTCTCATTTTTTAGCCACACATTCTCTATCATAACACTATTACAAATTGCATTTTTTGGAAAAAAAAAAAAAAAAGGCAAAAACAAGCAATAAAAAATATATANNNAAAAAAAAAAAAAAGGCTCAAACAAGACCTTAAATGTATTTATGTCCTGATTTTGTTTTTGTTAAAAAGTTGCTAAAAAAATCATTTATTTGTTCCATCAAACTCGAACATTAATTTTAATCACACGTTCATAATTACCATTCATTTATTTTTTACACGTTTCATGAGACTCACGACTATTTCTTATGAAAAATTACTAATAATTTCACACGAACCGAGCACGAAATTAAAAAAAAACATGTACAAGTTCCCATTATTTATTTTTGTGGTATTGGAGATAGAATTTATTTTGCAAATAATACTCAAAACTATGAAAACTTGCCTACTTACAGACAGGCTAATTAGTGACGATCATCATACGTGATCGTTAATCGCAATAATTTATGTTAACTATATAGGGGAATTAGACGAAATTACCTTATTTCCAATAAATTTGAGATTGCTACCCATTCGAGGATCTGATAAATCTATCCCCATTTCATAACTTAATGAAATATTGGCTGACATTGCTGTTGTGGACATGTCGTCCATGTCAGCTATTAATAAATATGTATTTGCAACCTGTCTATATGACAACTCTATGATATTAAATGATAGATTTACTTAAATGCAGTGTCACACAATTCATTTAATTGAACATATCAAGTGTGGCCACATAAACTGATACTCTAACACTACTGATACTAAATAACATTATTTTATATACTCTTTTTGTAAGAGTAATATTATTCATCTTCATTGAGATTACAAACACAGTTTAGGTGGCTCTAATTAATAGGTTAAATAAAAGATGAAATTAAATGACTAATTCACATTTCATTTAACATTTTATTAAGAGCCACCTAAACTGTGTTTGTAACCTCACTGGGGATGAATAATATTAATCTGTTTGTAATGCATTTTTTGTTTATGCGAAGGGCTGATGGTTTCCACCTATATAAACTTAAACATATATTTTTGTTATGAACTTTTTTATTGATTTCTTTATTCTAAATAGAAAAGGAATTTATATTAATACCAAAATTGGATTGCTATTCAAGACGTGGATTATCACTCTTTAAGCTATTTATAGTTTCTCTAGATCAAAATCTTTGCTTGGCCCCTATTATAATGAGAATTTGGGAAAATGTATTTTGAAATAATAGTTTTTTTTGGAGAATGTGTAATTAAAAAAGAATGAAAAATTTTAGGTTTACGTGTAATATTATTTTATTGAAAAATGGGTGGCTGATAAGAAAAATGAAAAAAATGAATTATAATTCATGTATAATCTATTTATATTTGATTGTCAGTTTAGATGAACACACTCGATATGTTTAATTAAATAAATCATGTGACTTTGTATTTAAGTGATTCTATATTTATTAAGGGCTTGTTTGAGCTCCATTTTTTTTTTTTTTTTGTATAAAATATATTTTGGAATAGTAGATTGATGAAAAATGTATGGTTAAAAATAAAGAATTTTTTTTTTTTTTGTTGTATGTAATATTATTTTATTGAAAGATGTGTGATTGAAAAGAAAAAAGAGAAAAATGTATTTTGAAAAAAAATGGATGTCATACAAGATCTAACATATAGTTGCCTCCTAAATTAATGCTTGGCACAATTGATGATGAATAATATTACTCTTTATACCTTTATTTTAAATCTTGAGTATGAAGTTGCAATGTCGATTTGGTGAAATGAATTCCAAGGAACCAATGGAGCATAACAAATTCCCATAACAATTTAATGTTATTGTAGAATTTGATTTGTCAAATCGTCAAACAAGGACTAGATTCTGGCGATGATGGACTTGAAAATTATTTAGATATTGACCACGTGATCAATTTTGTTAGATCTAAAGCATAATGGCAAGTTTCGTGTCCAAAATAGACGGCCTCCGTTCACTGTCTGCTTGGCGATCGTTGGAGCGACGACATATCGGTGAAACCCTAGATCGCAATTTTGAGACTTTTTACAACTCCAAATAACCTCAAACACTTCATATTATAAATATCCAAGCTATATTTCATTCATATTTTGGGTTAAGCTTCTATTAATTTAAGAGAATACTTTGTTGAAGATCAATTACATAATCTATAATTCTCTTAATCATAGTTGTCGGACTCAATTCGGACACAGACCCAGACAATGCAGCGGGTCAATGGATTAATGGTTCAACCGGTGACCTAGTGGTTCAACCAATAGGTCATTGCATAAAAACCTACAAAAATTATAAATTATAAATTTTATTTTAGGGGTAAAATTAAAAATTTTAATTTATTTTTCATTATTTGGGTCTATAAAATAAAGTAAAATGTTGGATCAAAGTTTTTTAAAAGAATGTTTTTATAAAAGCTATAAATGATTCATTAAATAGATATAAGTTATTGCACACAAGTAATACTAAAACACTTTATGTTCAAGTGGTGAGGAATCCATAATTTTTCTTAGAGGTCCAATGTTCAATTCCATTAGACCGAAAAATTTTGCAAGAGGATTTCAAAATCCAATCAAACCGATCAACTGGGCCGAGTAAATCGTTAGTTAACTCAGTTAAAACCCGATTTAGACCGAGTCAAGTACGTTTCTATCAAATTAATCTATCCAGCCTGGTCAAGGGTCCGAGCCGCCGATTTTTCGATCTGACCGATCGAGTCAGGCCAGATTTTATAACTATGCTCTTAACTCAATCACGAGATCTTTATAGGGTTTAAACTAACTTTAAAATTCATCTAGATGCAATAGTTCATGACTTGTTACATGTTATTATTTGTTAGTTTTTAATTCCGCATATTACATCTATTCACCTCCCTATAGGTGCTAATTGGGACAAACCTCGATAATTTCAAATTTCTTATCAAATTATTGTATCGAAGAATTCACCTTTGAAATTAGATAAGATCAAAAAATAATTCTTCTCTATTTATGTATTTACAGTCGAAACATTTGAAACTTTCTACTTGTTTAATCAATCCTCCTCCAACCTCGTAAGGATTTAATAGAGTGGCTAGGTTGGAATTGTGTGATGTCAACATTGATGCTGAAGTATTAAAAATTTTGATATCCAGCTGCCCGTTACTGGAGCAACTATCATTGGATGTCCCAATTGAATATGACTTGGAAATTGATGATTCTATACGTGCGAAGACTTTCAACTTCAGTAATTTTGTTTCTCTAATTGTTTAAAGAGATACATCTTGCAACCAGGGACGGATTGGGGGGGGGGGGGGGGGGGGGGGGGGG